AGAAGAAGAAGAAGAAGAAGAAGAAGAAGAAGAAGAAGAAGAAGAAGTAGTAGTAGTAGTAGTAGTAGTAGTAGTAGTAGTAGTAGTAGTAGTAGTAGTAGTAGTAGTAGTCCTTGGTGCTCTCTGAGCTGGGTTATTTTCTTGCAGACATTTCATGACCCAACTAAGTAACATCAGCAGGGCTTGGCAAGTACTAGCATTAACCTCCTGGTAGTTGGGTCACTAAACGTGTGCAAGAAAACAACCCAGCTCAGAGGGCACCAAGGACCCCACAGTCCTCTTCCTGACTTCCTTTTCTCCTCCTCTCCACAAACCCCACTTCCTTCTAGCACTGACAATGTTCCCTAGTTGGGTCATGAAACGTCTGCAAGAAAACAACCAAAGACCCCTCATTTCAACTCTGAGCTGCAAACATTCTCCTTTAAAGTCAATTCAGGAAGTGGGTTCTGCATCTAGGTCAGCTTGAAAGCAAGTCCATTGGGAAGAATGAGAGACCAAAACTTACGAGTAAACTCCAATGAACATAAGGGGGAATCAAACCTTTAGGGCAAGAGTCTTCAAACGTGTCAAGTTTAAGACTTGTGGACTTCAACTCCCAGAATTCCTGAGTTAACATGACTGGAGGAGGAACTCTGGGAGTTGAAGTCCACAAGTCTTAAAGCTGTCAACTTTAAAGACCCGTACTTTAGGGGGTCTACTCTGAAGGGAGCCCTATTGCACTTAAAGAGAATTTCTTCCAGGGGTGAGCATGCCAATCAACGCTGCTCTGCAACTTTTTAACCATCACAGTCTTGATAAGCAACAATTCACGCGTGCAAAATAAATAAATAAATAAATACATAAGTAAGTAAGTAAGTTACCGGTCCTGCGCAGGCGCAGTGGGAACCCACTCGCCCGCATTTCTTTTCGCTGAGGCTTGTGTCAACTCAAAACCCTGAAAAGGGGCGGAGCTTCTTGGAGGTGTGACCCAATCAAAAGACGAGGATGGGTGATTGACCCATTTCCCGGGAAATTTAAGTATTGTTCAGAGCGGCTGCTGTTACACAGTTGTAAAAGCATTTTGTACCAAGAGACTGTGAGTAGCCGGGTTGTAATTTGGTTTTCTTTGCATTCCTAGGAACAGAGGCTTATAAATGTATTCAATTTTATATCCAAGACATGTTATTCATTCTGGGGTGTGGTTTTTTTGCCTATGCAAATGTTACTCAGTAATAATTAAATGAAGGGAAGGTTTAGTTTGTATATAATTCTGAGGGTTTTTTTTTAATCCAGTGGCTCTCAATGGCTGTGTTTAAGCCGCATGCTTAACCTGGTTATTATGTTTTTATTTCTATTCCCACCTGTATTTTTTATAAAGAGCTCAAGGTGGCAAATGTACTTAATACTCCTTCCGCCTCCTCTTTTCCCCACAACAACCCTGTGAGGTA